CAGATATTACGATGTAAACTAGTTGTTTATTCAATCAAATGACACGTTACTAGCAAAATCAAATTAAATTAATGAAAAAGATAAAAAAAAATTGGTTCGCATTTTTTCTTGTTGGTATATCAATTCTATATTTTATCAAATAAATTGCTAGTAGTGCGTCATTTGATTGGATAAAAAATCGTGGTTTCTGCATAAATTAAAACCACTTGTTACCTACGTCACAATGAATTACATAAGAAAAAATTACCAATCGACTTGACATTACATTTTGAAAGTACTACTCATGTACTATTTCGTCGACTGAATTGTGCAATTTTATCCCGTGCGACAAAATTCTATAGAATCATATCCCTAATTAATGATATCTCTGGATAAATGTGAAGCTAATGAACAGTAATTAATCTCAAAAATACACTGAACAATTTTAACTGAGATACATGTAGAGTAAAACATCAAAATTGTGGTCAACATTGAGAACAGGTGCCATCAAGGATTACGTATCCTCTTTCGACAGGTCACACCTGCCATGTGCTTGTCAATTATGCAAGATCAAGGAAATTGACGAAATCCGCACAAGATAAAATTACACCATTCAGTCGACGAAATAGGACATGTGTAACTGAATGCCCATTGAAAAGTCAGTAAAAGGTCCCTTGTCTGTTGCCTTATCAGTGATCTTTCAGATAGCATTTTTCCTACTTTATTTTCAGTGCTTTTTGACCTCTTTTATTTATACTGAAAATTTTATTTTACTACATTTGAAAAGGAAAGTGATATTCTCATCGACTGTTTTAGGTTTATAAAATGTTTGTTGAAAAACCCAGAAAAAATTTCAAGCTATAGCTCTGCGAAATAAAAACAACTCTTGCCTGTGAGGAAAAAGTCAAACTGCTTGGTGTTACTTACGATTTTGACTTCAACATCAATTCTCATATGTGCTGAACCCTGCTGAAAAAGCAGGTAACAAAATTGTCTTTGTAAAACCCACTACCTGGGATTTAATTCTACTAGTAGTAATCCCATAGCTCCCTTCCTAAGGAGGAAATTCTACAAAATCATAAGCCACTTTTAAATATCTTTAATATTCCCAACAAACATCATGAATTTGAATTCTGTAGGTATCTATATTTGATTTCAAAACTGATAAAAATCCTTACAAACAAAAATTACATATATATATATAGTGGATTACAGTAAATGTTCTAACAAACCTCTCCCTTTACTCCTCATTAAAATTTTAACAATAGCGAATGAGAAAGTTCAGGAGAACTATGCAACAATATATATGAGAAGTAGTCAAAATCAGATGTCAACACTATAAAATTCCAATGAACGTTTGGAAATCACAAGATTATACCAAAATCAACAGCTTAAAAACTTACTTTTAAGACTTTTCAACTTTATAAACACCCATTCCCCACGATGAATTAAAGTCCAGACTGTTTGATATCATTAACAGCATTTTTTGTTTTTGTTTTTATAAAAATGTAACACATGAAACTCAACTTGTCATTGGTCATCTGCAAAACTATTTCGTTAAAAACACACTAATTGTACCCTTATGTACTCTGAAGTTAAGATTAAAGAGTTTCTTGAGTTTCTGCTTGATAACATATATATGTGTGGTTTTTTTTAGATCAGGCCCCATGATCATGAAACAGACTTAAACTTAAATGTTAAATAATTATTGAATTAATCTCTAAATGTGCAGATAACAGCACTTTGTGAAAATAATGTGGATAAATACTTTCATTTAGGGATATATGACTTCTACAACATTTAGATGCAATACAAAGATTTTGACTTAAGCTTAAGATATTTCATGATCCCTTAACATTTAAATACAACACAAAGATTTTGACTTAAGCTTAAGATATTTAATGATCCCTGGGGCCAGGTCTCCAACAATATATTAGAATACCCAGTGTGACCAATTGCGCCCCGATATTTGCAGACCTATCTTTGTATTCATATAATGTATGAAGAAGAACTTGTTCAAAATCTTATACGAGAAAAGAAGAAATGACTCGATGTGGCCTTCAATTCAATCTTTAGAGACATCGACGACGTATTGTCAAATACCAATGGTAATTTCCATTCTTCTGTCGTTATGATGTATCGTGGTGAGCTTGAGATAAAAAAAATACCACATAGTCTGACACATCTGTTTAACACTTGAATGGTAATCACACAACCAAGCCTTATGATAAACGTGATGACTTTAATTTTTCTGTCGTCAACTCTTCTTACTTTTGCAGCATTATACATGTATTCCCATACGTTTCATCCTGGTGAGCTTGAGATAAGAGATACAATAGTCTGACCAATCAGTTTCGTATATGGATATTTTGCTTGAAAAAACGTTAATGAAAATCAAGCAATCAAGTTGATGGTAACTTTCCAATCGTCAACTTCTCTTCCTTATGCAGCAATATACCTCTTATATCTCTCACAGGGGCGTAGCAAAGAGGGGGGGGGGGGGGCAAGGGTTGGCCTGCCCCCCACTTTTTTCCCAACCTTACTTATACTATAGAAAATGTTAATTGAAAGCCTTTTGCCCCCCCCCCCACTTTTAGTGATGTACCGAAACTTTAGTATTAGAATTGGTACTGAAAGTAGTTGACACTGAGAAAAGTTTACCTCCCCCCTCCACCCCCACGAAATAGGACTTTCGACTTTGGGCAACTTTTTTTTTGGCATGTCAACTTCTTCAGGTAAGTAAAAAAGAAATTTCTCTGGCTGCCCTCACCCCCACTTTTAAAAACGATGCTACGCGCCTGTATCATTTAATATGGTATGCAAACGCAAGCTGTAAATATGAACAATTGCAAGTTATAAAACGAGGTAAATTATTGTCAGAAATTGCTGAGTAAGAATGTCAACAGTCTTGTCAACAAATACAATTTATCATGAAGTCATATGCTTCTTGGCGTTTTTCATGCTAATTTTTAGCACATCATTTACACACTTAATTGTTGACAGAATTTTCCGTTATTTCCCGATAATGACAAAAGCACACGGCGAATGAGACCGGTCGATAGGGGCTGATCACTCCTCTATGGCACCTGATCTCAACTATGATGTTTTGGAGGTCCAAACAACTCTGTATTGTTTAATGGACTTTTGAGTTTGAAAAATGTACGTCATCTTCATACATTTCATATCAAAAACTTGTAAGAAAGCAGGGAAATCGAAGACCAAAAACGTGCTAAGCAATTCTACGTGTTGGACATTGCTTTTTACAGATGATATAAATTATATGCTTTTCCAAAGCTCTGTACAAAATAAAGAGAAACACCAGCATTTTACTATTTTGAATAGTTTTACTATTACAAGTGGTCTTCATTCATTTGAAACTATTTCAAAATTTAAAAATGATCATATATATAAAGTATATATTAAATGGAATAAACTAGGTAAGCAATATACATTTTTTCCATGGAACAAAAGGTAGACTGGTGTGTATCAAATAATAATTCTTAAAGATGAATAAACCAAAAGGATCAAGGGCCACATTGCTCACCTGCATAGCTTTTGCCATGCTGTTCTTTACCAGATTTTCCCCTTTAAATACATAATATGATCTCACCGTACCCCGGCTAGTGTCATAATGCAGACAATTAAAATTATACACTACCCAAGAATGCTTCCATATAAGACAGCTTTTTCCTGCCAAGTGCTTCTTTAGAAGATTATAACGTTTACACTATATATTTCAAAGCAATTTTTGTATTCCCTATTGTGGCCCCGCCCTTACCCCGGAGACATTATTTGAACAATTTACATTATACCAGGGTGTTTCCATAAGTTTAAGCTTTTTTTGGCCCAGAGATTCTTTAGAAGAATATTTTAAAAGTTTTGTTCTATATATTCTGTATAAAACTTTGATTCCCTATTATGACGCCGCCCTATCCCTGGGGATCAGAATTTGAACAATTTAGAATCTAAACTACTTCAGGGTGTTTCCACATCAGTTTCAGCTTTTCTGTCCCAGTGGTTCTTGAGAAGATTTTTAATTACCTCAACTTATTTTTTCTTTTTGATTTTCTTCTCTTGGTAAGGGTCTTGGCCTTTCATTTTAACAATTTGAACTCTCATTTACCCAAGAATACATTATATTAAACATTTTATTAAGTTTGCTTTAAATTGGCCCAGTGGTTCTTGAGAAGAGGTTTAAAATATGAAAGTTAATAGTCAGAAGGAAGGACGAACAAACTGACGACGGAGAACAGGTGATGTTATTTCACTTGAGCTTGCAGGTCAGGTGAGCCAAAATCCAAAGTAGCTCACGTTTCTTTTTTTAAGGAAGTTTCTCACCTACGTTATAATTAATAGCAAGAATGTTTAGTCCATACAGATGTACTTTAACGGCAATTATACAATCACAAATAAGAATAAAATTATTTAACCAAAGAGCAAAATTTTTCTATCACTGATTAAAATATAATCATGAGCTTATTTTATTTTACCCATGTTGCAATAGTTATAGTGTTTGCATCAAGTAGCGGAATGGCAGGTTCAGATCGCGCTGCGGAACCTTCCTTAGTTAGGATTAGTCCGTATAGAGTTAAGTACCGCGCTGCAGTACGTGTTTGCAAGAAAATGATCCCTTACTGCTCAGTAGCCTCGAGTACCAAGTATAGTTAATGTATAACTTTGCAGGCTCCACTGGCAAGATATGGCGTCAAGATATAAGTAAAAGGAACAATCAAGCAAAAACAATTTACCCTTGCTGAATTTACCTTTCCCTGTAGAATCATCATAATGTTTTGGTCTTCTTAAGAATCAAAGAGCTAAATCCATTGATTAAATTTTCTGTTAGTCAAACAAACCATATTCAATTTTGAGAGGGGGTTGAGGAAAAGTAAAAAGCTTATAAAAATGGGACAAAAATGAGATATATACCTGTATGTATATGATTTTTATGCTTTCAAGAAATATTTCAAAAGGAACATTAAAATGATGAAATACTAAATGTAAACTTGAAACAAAGTACGTAAACATTTGAAGCATCTTTTTTTCTTTATTTGATAAAAGAAAGTGTCCTCGTTAAGAACAGTTTGACAGTTTTGATAAATGATTGCACAATTTAAGCTTCGGATCCCATCCTGTATTTTTCTGACATTCCATCGATGTTGCCGTTCCGTAAGAACATACGTAGTACTTGGTACAGTTCTTTGGGTCAGGAAACTCTCCAAAGGTACTCGGACAAGAAAACGCTTTTGAATCTATTTTAACAGAATTTTAATTAAAGACAAAGGCATGTATTCATTTACTTACAAATGGATTGTAGTAAGCTGTTGTCTTTAATCAAGTTATACTTAGACTTTACAATTCTTTCACGTTTTTGAATAAACAAAAAGTGATTCTTATACCACGACATATTAAAAAAAGTCTTTGACTAAACGATGTACATTTTAAGTTATCAAACATTTACCTAATACGTGTATACATAAAGAAACTTAAATATATTAAATATGAAAATCATGTTCTACCAGATTTGTCATCTTCAAATTTACACCCGACTTCCGCAGCATCTGCACATGTGGAGTTGTTTTGTTGCCATGCAGTTCCGAAAGGACAAGTCATGTTCATTTGATATCCATGCACGCAAGCCTGATACATTGTGCAGTCGTTCGGATGAGGACTAAAAGTTCCATGGACACAATCTGGGATATCAATATAAAACAACAATTAAGGTATGTACACCGGTGTTTGCGTTGATTGTTTCGAATCAGATTGAAAGGGATTTTTCTTTACTGAATTATTACGGATATATAACTCGTCAGCTTCTTTATTAAAAAAATTAAGTATATCTAACTTTTCAATTTTAAGAGTTTATTATCTATTATAATAATGGTACATTTGAAATCAGAAATCTTTTTCTTGTTACTGTGCGATCTTTTAAGTGCACTTTTATGTACTAAGACTGGCCATTACTTTCACGTAAACTAAATTGAATTGTTCTTTACACCGTATGACATAATGTGAATTATTTTTAGACATTAAGAAAGTGCTTTCAAATTTTAATTATTTTTATTCAGTTTAATAATGTTTATCTATTAAATGTAGTACATGTATTTGCGATATAAGACATACCCAAGCATTAGCTGAGGAATGCAAATTATAAATTCTTTTTAAAAAATCATAAATTAAATTTAAGCCATAAATCAAATTAATTGTGTAAATGAAAATAAAATTCACAAATTTTACATCAATTATTACTTAGTTTAAATCATGATTTTGAAATATTTAACTTCCTTAATTACGAGAGCCTAATTTCTATGCCCGATACGTGTAATACTAACCAAGGACAGCAATTTAAATATCTTAAGGAGGCTGGGGGTCAAATGATTCACCACAAATTAACTACCAGATTTAACTTATTTTTTAGATACGGTATCTTAAGCTGTCAACTACCATTTGGCAAAGAAAAAATCATACATTTTAGTTTTAAAATTTGATCATTTTTGTATATCTACGGATCGATCTCTTCTTCTAAAGGAGGTCAAAATAATTTTTAAATTTTCGTGAACATAATAATGATTTTATCAATGTAATAAGATAAATGAATTGCACTGCTCAGACATATACAGTTTAGCTTGTATTGACCTTGATAGAAAAACTAATTGAAGTCTCGAGCTCTGGGCCTATATTCATGCATTTTTTTCATGAAAAATATGAGAAAAAACGTGTTTGAAAACTGTATTTCAATATCCTGCAACCATACAACCCTGTATCTATAGAATTTCCGAATGAAAGAGTTTAAATGTTTCAAAAACTTAATAATTACCTACTTTTAGTTTTTCCTTCTGTGAAGCTGGACAATGTTATTAAGCTATATATAACAAACACACGAACAATCATCTTGCAGTAGTAGTATGGCCTACTGTGCACGAAATCCATACATTTATAAAGTACAGTTATTACAACAAAGTAACATTTGTGAAAATGGGGGCTAAAGTAAATATAATCAGTTGAATATAAATCATTGCATTATATCATGGTTATGTTTGTTTTTTAAACTCTGAATAACAGTTGACAGATCAAGTCCATGTTATATGCCTACTTATCTGGAAACAACATATGTTCAAAGTGAAATGCACACGAATGAATTATGATGCCTTAAGCTTGATTCAAACATATAAATGCATTTTATTGTCCATTTGAACATAGAATTGAACAGTTTTTCCTTAACTGCAAGAGGGCGATGTATGTGCAATCCTTGTAAAATATGATTTACAGTTAGTATTTCGCAACTGCTATGACACATTAAAAAAGTAATGATTACAACAAAAGTTTAAATGCGTGTTGACTTAATTATATCTTTTTCTACTTTGACCAAAGCATTAACATAACATTCAGATATATAGAGAATAATACATATACATACCCTTTTCCATATCACATCCTGTATCAGCCCGATACACCAATATCAGCCAGAGGGCCGAAGGCCCGAGGGCTGATATTGGTCGAGGGCTGATACAGGATGTGATATGGAAAAGGGTATGTATTAATATGTTTATTACATACTTATTAATAAAATACAGCAAACATTAAGTTGAGAATAAAATAAGTAAATAATTATGCATGGACTTCTTACATACATGTATATGGTCTATCGCTCATACGATTTGGGTTTGTTTCTACTTCTATTTCAATGCACTCGATCCTTAATTTGAAACTAATCTATTACATGTATTTGTAAATTAAAATAACCTTATTTTTAAAAAGTTAAAATTAAGAGAATATGAACCTACCAAAAATTGTGTATGATCACAAGTACTGTTTTTGTGGTTTAATTTACTGAGGGTGTGATTTTGACGTCACAATAGCCGTATCAGCCCTGCAGGGCTAATAACCTATATCAGCCCCGCAAATCCATATCAGCCCTGCAGGGCTGATACGGCTATTGTGACGTCAGCCATATCGCACATGCAAAAAAACCCGTATTTATTACTAAGTGTGTAATAAATATATATATATATATATACATTTGTGGTATCTTTCTATTATGTAAACATATTTGTATGAAGTTACTCACAGGTCATAGGTCAATATGTGACCTAATCATGTGGTGCAATAATATCTTCCGGTACATAAATGTATAAAATAACTTGATCTACTTGCTTTCCGGGTATAAAAGTGAACAAAATAAGCAAGTAAAATAATAATTGTTTTATTTACGATATAAACAAGTATTTCATACATTTTTAGCGAGCGATTTAACCTGTGTACATAGCAAATATCCCGATACTGATAGTAACTAGCCTTTGTTTACAAGTTTTATGTCACTTTTGCCAGCTTCAGTTTCTAACTTCTATTCTTATGTTTTTGGTAGACCTATAGTTAACTCTTAATGATGAGCTATAACTTTTTCCATTAATTTCTACTCGTGATAAATATGTAAATTTGTTGGAAAATATTGAAAGCATTGCAATCACGCCACGAACAGCTGACAAACACTTCATCGTTATCGTATATCAAAATAAGCTGTCGCCAGTGCCTCCGTCTTTACCTCATAAATTTTTATGCCTTTGCAGTTACTGAAATCGTAGATTGAATGTTTTCGATCAAATTTAATACTTGATTGCAAATAAACCGGCTCTGACAAAGGTCTCCATCCATCGGATCCAGCCATGATATACCCTTTCCGGCGACCGAAATTTATCCTACTTTTTATCATTAATCTTCGGACATGTTTCTTGTGTCTTTCAGTTTTGATTTTAAATTTTCACAAATAAATATATTCCCAGACATATTCACTAATACTGATCATAAGTAGCCTTTCACAAAATATTCCCTTCGAAATAGAATCCTTAGCTTGATGAATTTGAAGCGTAACCGCCTTTCAAGCCGAGTTACACCTTGCGTGCCTTTGTCGGAAATCTATGGTGAACGCGAAGTGCACTATTTATATCCGAATTTATTTCTTAGATATGCGTATCATGCAAAACTTTTTAAAATGTCAAGATAAACAAACGTTAGATTTCGTCATATGACCGTGCAACGAAAATGTATCGATGTTCTCACTGGTCATTTCTTCAAAACTCATTGTCTGATCTTCCAAGAACGTACTATGTACATGTTAACTTAATTTTGCTGATGCATCTGGTTTTAAGCTTTTCTAATACTAACTTTTAACACTCGCATATTCATTTTACTGTTTATATATGACGATCTAGTTTAGAATCAGATTCAGCAGAAAGTAATGTTCGAAACACGGTTTCCACTCATATTTTACTTTTAACTATCTATCTATCTTGTGACTCTCATTCACATTTGGTATTTTATGAAACTTGAGTTTTGAGATTTCCAACCCTAAAAGGACCTAATTCTTTTCCTTAAATGTGCATCAAGTACATGATAATCTGATATTAAATTAAGGCATTTTATAGTACAAAAGGATTACTTTTACCACCAGAACATTTAAAAAAAATTAATTAATTAAGCAGTAGTTAATTAACAAAGATAACATTGCAGTCTATGGGGAAATTTAGAAAAAAAAATGATAAAAGTACAAATAAAAAAAACATCATCAGATACTTTGGTGGAAAGATGAATTGAAACATTGGAAATAGAATGATAATTAAAAACGATTTCTTTACCAGACAATTTTTTTTACAATAGATTTTTTTCATAAATTAAAAACGGGGGGGGGGGGGGATAAATCATATCAAAATACAAGGTCATGAATTATGACACATCTTACCCTTGCATGCTAATTAGTAATAAAATGGAATTATGTCGAAACCTACTAAGTATTCAACACCTTCACAACTGTTGTGTATTTAATTTCATTGAATATATTAATATTAGGGATAGAATACCTCATTTAGTGTGATTTACTTTTCCATATTTCAAACGAGGAAAAAAAAAATAAAAAATAAAGTCAATACAGAATCAGCTTTTAAAGTCACTTAAGTTTGAATCTAACGTAAGAGACGTAAGATCTTTTTAAAGAAAAACGCGGAGAAAAAAAAAATTAATAAAAATAAAATAAGGCGCTTTATAAAAAAAAAATACAGTGTAGATTAAAAAGAAGAAAAATTAATAATTAAAAAAAATTGAAAGATGAATTAAAAATGATAAGGGAGGAATAACATTCTTGTTGTATGAAACTAGGCCAAACCTAATTAAACTTTGTTTTCATAATAGAATCTGAAGAAAACTTGATATTTTGTATAACTGTACCATAAATTTGAAAATAAAAATTAGAATAGATAGTGAATCAATAAGTAACATTTTGTTGATTATCTTTCAACTGTGCATAAAATATAAAGTAAATATCAAAATAGACCTATAGGCTAACAAGTATATAACATTCTGTTGATAACATTACATTTATTTGAAATATTATAAAAGATTTTATGATTTTATAAAACCTTTTACAATAATTATATGTAATGTTATCAATTTAAATGCGATGTTAGTTTTAAATCAATCCTCACATGTCTATATATATTGAACTTCAGATATCAGTTTAGTCTCCAAAACTGACATAAGATATTCTTTTTTATAAATATTTACATGTAAGAGATACAATAATATACAAGTACAATTCGTTTGAAAAGGGGGTAAAAATAAATTTATGTGCAAAATACCTAAAACTTTTTTTCCAATCCATTCTTCAAAGAGCTAACACAAACAAGATTCCTATATGCTTTAAGAAATGTTTCTTTTTAACAAAAACATGGTTATCAGATCATAATCTTTATTTCAACTTAATTTATTTTCAAACTTTGTAATCTTCTATTTATAATAATACTTGGAGTAAATGGACAAAAACCTGTGATGAAGAGGCTGAACATTGATCTTAAAATACAATAATCCTTACAACAAAAAATTAAAGTTAACTATAGTTCACTATACTATCAACGTTTTTACTATCGTAAATCAAATTATTTTTTACTATATGTATTATAAATCAAAGTATTATTACTCTGAATTTCAGGTTGTCATGTTTCATGTTCTTCAATTTTTACACTTGTATATTTTTAAATCAAAAGGAACATTTACTTGTGTATTCACACACATATTAGAATTGAACATAAGTAACACGAATTAAAAATACATAAAACGTACACGAAAATAGGCTACAAACAAAAAATTTCATGGTATCTTTCAAAAATGGTCGAAATTAACTAGGTAGTCGAAATTACACCACCCTACCCTAATTTGTAAAATCTCAAAGAAGTTCTCAAGTAAAGTTTTATATTAAATCCAAGTATCAAAGTTTTAACCTGTTAACTGAAATAAAATTTAAACAAACGGATTTATTTTTCAGCAACAAGGAAAAAAATTATTTATAAATCATTGACGGAGACAATAAAAACGGCACAGCTGTTTATGATGCCGGATGAACACGTTTTGAAGATAAGAAAGTATATGCTTACGAGATCAAAATGCATCTAAATAAATTTATATCTATCCACAAATTTTCCTGATCATGAAACAAGACAACTCTGGCTATTCGAAGCTTGTTTTTGCTTAACATCATGTATAAATCATTAAAAACACAAATGAGTGAAACTGTTATTTATTCAAATAACAAATGACTAAAACTAAAATCAACAATACATATTACAAAAAAGTTATATAACAATTAATTGGCTGGGCTTAAAATAAAATATACAGTTAATAAAAAAATAAATATTTTTATATTTTAAATGCAAATAAATATTACATTTTATAATTATGTATCGTTTATTTAATTTTTTTAGTATTTCATCCTTATCTAACTGTTTTGACGTTTACATGATGCTAAGTTACATTCATTTATTGTTTAAATTAAGTTAAACATTTCGTTTGTTGAAATCTCTAATTTTAAAATTTTTACATGAAAATTGATGATGTGTATTCAATCTGATGAAAACAAGATCAGCAGTTATATTACTTTTATGAAAAAAAAGAAGGATCGATATCAGAATATTACGCTGTACCTTATTATTGTTTTTGCTTG